CCCTCCCCCTCCTCCTCCTCCTCCTCCTCCTCCTCCTCCTCCTCCCTCCTCCTCCTCCTCCTCGTCCTCCTCCTCCCCTGCTCCTCCTCCTCCTCCTCCTCCTCCTCCTCCGCCTCCTCCTCCTCCTCCTCCTCCTCCTCCCAACCGCACGGACGAAGACGAGGTCGGGATCACGACCCACTCCAATCCAGACTGATCCTCGGAATCGCGTTGTTCCTGCACTCAGCCTCCTTCCTTCTACACTGTTGCACGGGTACGGTGGCGGGGTTTGCCGCAGGCAGCTGGATAGATATGTTCACATATATGCACACACATATCCGACTGCCCGTGTGCGGTCTGCTGTCACGTGTTATATATATATATATATATATAAATATATAAATGTATCTATATATATATGTACATATATATAGTATCACTTGTTGTTTGGTTGTTTGTCTCTCCAGTCCTGTTCCCTGCCTCCCGCTTACTGTCTGCTAGGGGGCCCCGCCGCGCCACCAAACAGCCAACGGGGGGGTGAACCTCAAATCCTGGCTGCTTCAGGCCACCACAAGATTCTCATGGTGACGTCACCGCGCGGCCAGCACGGCCCGAGAGGCCTCCAATATTGCCCGAAGAAGCTCCGAAGAGAGCCTCAGGAGGCCAAGACGGCCCAAGATTTCCAAGATGTCCCACGATGGCCCCAAGACCGTCCAAGATGCTCCCAAGCCAGCCCAAGAGGCCTCCAAGAGGCTTCCCAAGAGGGCCCCACGACGCAAACAAGTGGCACGCGCTCCCTGGCCCTTGCACCAAGGATCCCCAAGAGCTCCGAGAAGCCCCAGGAGGTCCCAAGGGGGGTGGTCCAGGGGAGCTTGGGACCAGGCTCAGGGGGGGGGCCGAAGGGGACGAACCACCACGAGCCACGACTAAATACGAGGGTTCGGCGACCCAGGGGTCTGCCTTGGGAAGCCTGGATGGAGGGGGGTCCCAAGGGGAGGGGGCCCTGGAGAGCTGGGTTTCAGGCTCAGGGGAGGGGCCGAGGGGAACGAACAACCACGACGAAAATAAAAGGTTCGGCGGCCTAGGGGGGCTGCCCTGGGAAGCCTGGACGGAGGTGGGGTCCCAAGGGGGGGTGGCCCAGAGGAGCTGGGGATCAGGCTCAGGGGAGGGGCCGAGGGGGACGAACCACCACGACGAAAATAAAGGGTTCGGCGGCCCAGGGGGGCTGCCCTGGGAAGCCTGGACGGAGGGGCGGTCCCAGGGGAGGGGCCCAGGGGAGCTGGGGCTCAGGCTCAGGGGAGGGGCCGAGGGGGACGAACCACCACGACGAAAATAAAGGGTTCGGCGGCCCAGGGCTGTCTAAAGGGTTCGGCGGCCCAGGGGGGCTGCCCTGGAAAGCCTGGACGGAGGGGGCTCAGGGGAGGGGCCGAGGGGGACGAACCACCACGACGAAAATAAAGGGTTCGGCGGCCCAGGGAGGCTGCCCTGGGAAGCCTGGACGGAGGGGCGGTCTAAAGGGTTCGGCGGCCCAGGGAGGCTGCCCTGGGAAGCCTGGACGGAGGGGGGGTCCCAAGGGGGGGTGGCCCAGGAGAGCTGGGGCTCAGGCTCAGGGGAGGGGCCGAGGGGGACGAACCACCACGACGAAAATAAAGATGTCCGAGCTCTAGAGCACAGCTGTGCAATATCAATGATTTTCCTACCGATTTTAACGTGTTTGGCCTTCTCGCCTTTTCGGCTTTCCGGCGCTTCGAGACGGACCAAGAGGTTCCCAAGATCGCCCCAAGACGGCCCTAGAAGCCCGCATGACGGCCCAAGAAGCCCCCAAGACGGCCCCAAGACGGCCGAAGAGGGCCCCAAGACAGTCCAAGAGGCGCCCCAGACGGCCCAAAAGAGCCCTGAGGCGCCCCAGACGGCCCAAAAGAGCCCTAAGACTGTCCCAAGAAAGGCCCAAGAGGGAGCCCTCAAACCGAAAATTTAACTTTTCCGCCCCGAGAGGGCCCCAGGAGGCCCCCAGAAGGTCCCAAGAGGCCCCAAAAGGCCTCCAAGAGGCCCCCAATTGGCCCCAAGGAGACCCCCAAGAGACCGAAAATATGCCCCAAGAGGCTCCAAAACGGCTTCCAAGAAGCGCCAACAATGACTCGCAGACGCTGCCGAGGAGCCTGCCACGCGAAGCACCCACGGCGCTATCCACGCAGCCGCACGCACTAGTGATAGGGGGGCTGGCGGCAGAAGGCGAAACCCTTTACTTTTACACATAGATCCGGCCGCTCCCACCCTGCGGGTTGGGCCGTGCGAACCTCTCTGACAGAGTGTTTGGCACAGTGTTTCGCCCCACTCGCCAGTGCCTGGTCAAAAACCTCCCTGGAAGTCTCTCCGAGGGGACCCCACTCTGCCGCCGCCCCCCCCCTCCTTGAAGGTCCTGAACAGCCCAGGAACGACCCAAGAGCGCCCCAAGCCCGTCCAAGAGAGTCCCAAGCAATCCAAGAGAGCCTCCAGACGGCTCCAGATCGCTCCAAGACGCCCAAGATTGCCTCCAAACGGGCCAAAGCTCCTTCAAGACGGCCCAAGAGGCCTCCAAGAGCATCCCCAAGGGAGCCCCAAGACACAAAAATCATTATTTTCTCGATAGTGTTTGCAGGATTTTCGCGTTCTCGCCATTTCGGCTTACCGACGCTCCAAGACGGCCCAAGAGGCCCGCAGGATCGCCCCAGGACGGCCCAACAAGCCCCCAAGAGAGCTCCAAGACAGCGCAAGAGGGCCCCAAGACGGCCCAAGAGGCCCCCTGGACGGCCCAAGAGGGGCCCCAGGACGGCCCCACGAGGGCGCCCAGAAGGGGAACCCGAATGAACATTTCGAGCTGTTGGTCCCAAGACGACCCCAGGAGGCTCTAACAGGTCCCCAGGAGGCCCCCAAGAGGGCCCCAAGAGAGCCCCAAGAGGCACCAAGAGAGGGCCCCAAGAGGCCTCCGAGAAAACCCCAGGAGGCCCCCAAAAGGACCATAAACTCCCCCGCAGAGGCCTCCGAGAGCCCTCTCGAGAGACCACACAAAGCGTCCATGAGGACTCCGACCCAAAAGCCAAGCACGATGGCGGGATGGGCCGACGGCCATTTGATAGCTGGCATACGCGCCGCGTCACGACTTTCGATGCTGCGCACCACTTCGGCAAACTCCCAGGGAGCGGCCAGTGATGCGCCGCCAGCGTCCTCGAAAGAAATACATTTGAATATAAGCATACTTATATATATATACATATACATATATACGTACGTACATACCCCCATACACACATACATTCATACATACGCGAATGCGTACATACGTATATAAATATGCACATGTATCCATGCATACCTACAGGCATACGTGCAGGCATGCATACATTCCTGTATGCGTACAAGCATACGTGCAGGAGTGCATGCATGCATACATGCATGCATGCATGCATACATACATACATAATAAACACATACAGGCAGACATGCATACATGCTTAACTACCTCCATGCATGCATGCACCCATACCTGCATCCATTCATATGCACATGCTTACACACATGCACATGCATGCATGCATGCACATGCATTCATACATGCATGCATGATTGCAGTCATGCGTGCATATGTATTCATGCATGCACACATGCATACCTATTCATTCATACACACATGCATACATAGTTACATGCATATATGCATGTATACACACAAACATGCATATACACGCATGCATACATACACGCATGCGTATACAAATTCATACAAACATGCATACACGCATGCAGCACAATATATACGAATGCATACATGTATACATGCATACATGACTCCACACATACCTATAACCATATATATAGAACACACGCATCCACACTCACATACATCCATACACACAAACATACATATACCCACACCATGCATACATACACACGTACCTATCTACACGTACATGGATACTTATATACATTCATGCATGGCTACACACATACATATGCATAGACCTTTCAGTACAGCCATACATGCAGATACGCATAAAACATACCTTCATTCATGCATGCATACAAGCATACCTACATACCTGTCTGTCGACATACATGCACACATACCTGCATACATGCATACACACCGACCTATCTTCTTACATACACACATGCATCCACACAGACAGGCAGACTGACAGACTGACATGCAAATATACATCGGCGGAATGATAAACATGTACGTATGCGTACACGTATGCACATACCTATACATATACACGTATATACACAATTACATATACATTTACACAGATATGAATATACGTATGCAAATTCATCGATCCATATGCAAATACATATAAATCTACATGTGCATATACAGACATGCATACGCATATGTATCTGAACGTGTTAATATTCAGTTGCCCTGGAGACGCGATGCCGTACCAGGAACAGGCCACGAAGTGATTGATGACAATGATCATCACCATCAGCTTGGCGACCCGCAGTGTGGTCAGGACCTACAGCTCGGAGCGCTGCACACACACCCTGCCTCCCCTGGTTCCACTGCCTTCCTCTTGCCCGTACATTGTCCTGTTTCTACCTCGTCCGCAACTGCCGAGGCGAAAACGAATCAAACCTTTCTCTGGCACATGGCACCGCCAAGGCACAAACTCCACGAGGCCAGCGAAGAGTAGTGTAATGGTGGTGGTATTGTACATGCTCGAGCTGCCGCATGCCCCTGCTTCTTCTCCGTGCTCTCTCCCCGACCTCCTCCTCCTCCATCTCCTCCACCTCCTCCACGCTGCATCCCTGCACGGAAACTAGGGCAAGGGCATATTCTGAATTGAGGAACTCGAGGCTGTGGATGGCCTCGCGGGGGTTGGACCAGTCCCAACACATGTTCGACCTGCCCTCTGTGCTTCAGCGGTGGCGAAGCCACTCGCAACCATAGACACCATATGATCAAATGCCCGATCCCACTGCACGATCAAGCCACGCTGGTCGCGTGAGCAACCGAGCCAAGCACGCAGTCGGCAAAAACCACCACAGCAGGCACGAGGGGGCACACCCTGCCGCATGCGTGAGCCACGACCCTGACCCCGTTAGTCGGCCAGCTGGTCGCGGGCCCCCTACAGTCAACCCGTATAAGAAGGACCCACCACAAGGATGCAAGGGCCTTGGAAGGCCATATCGACACTTCGCGAGCGGGGCACGGCCAGCGAAAGCGGCAAAGGATGGGCCGAAGGCGAAGGATGCAGGGGTAGTAAATCTTGGAACGTTGCTCAAATCCTTACTGTGCGGGTTGCCTGTAGGGCCACACCAGCACGGCCTGCTCCACCAGCTTCTGCGAGAGGTTCCGCATCTTGAGCAGCCGCAATCCGACCGGACGCTCGGGGCGCCACCCCTCCGGCCAGGAGCCTCCCGCTGCACTCCTGCCCCGCAGCCCACCTGACGGCCTCCGCCCGCCCCGCGGCCGGTTCACTCCGGCTCCTCTGCTTCATCTGGACGCCCAGGGCCTCCGGTCTCCGGGCAGCGGCGCGGCCATCAAAGGGAGCCCGTCCCCGAACGAGGCTGCCACCTGCACCGAGCGCTCCGGCTACACTCGGAGTCGGCTGGGAAGTTTTTCGTATGTCGGTGGTGAGATAGGGACGACGGCAACGCAAATCATCCATCGGTGCCGATCCACCCTACAACCGTCCAAGAGCTGCACGCGGAGGCATCCGCGGACTCGACCCAGATGGCACTCGGGCTCCGAGCGGAACCTCCTCGGACTCTGCTCGGGGTCCTACTTGGCCACCAGGACTCTACTCGGGCTCTCGGGCTCTCCTCGGCTCCTGCTCGACCTCTACCCGGGCCCGTGGTCGGACCCTGTGCTCCCTCCCGGCTCCGACCCTGCTCGGACTCCACGCGGACTCTACGCGGGCTGGACCAAGACGAAGCGTGAACTCGCACCTGGACTCTGATGAGACTCTCTTCGGACTCTCACTCGGGCTCTGCTCGCATTCTACTCTGCTCTACCCCAAACTCTTTTCGGACTCCAACTCTGACCCTGCTCGGACTCCAATCGGACCCTGTTCGGACTCCAAGACAGAACGCACACTGGAACATGCGGCCACTGACACCCACGTGCAGACCTCAAATGAACGCGGTGACTCACACGAATTCACGAACATACACCTGACAATCAACGTGGGTACCAAGTGGAACCCACGTACCCCCCGTTCCTGTGTATTCCATCCAACTCCACATCAGAGTCCATGCGAGTGACCGCTGGCGCACACGTGAATGCACCTTCTGGGGTCCATGCGAGTCCTCATTGGAGAATGTGAATACGACAAGTATGCATTGTCAGCATCTGCGCCAGGGGCGCGGAACGCGGAACTGCTTTGTGATATGGGGTGAGAGTTTCTCCAGGCTGGCCACATACCTGGATAAGCACGGGAGCCCATGCGGATATCCAGAGGGGCCCATGTCAATACCATCATCGCCCAAGGCCGATGTTTTTGTTATGCCGGGGGGTGGGGTGGAGGTGGGTAGGGGGGGGGCTTGTACCTGCATCTGCGAGAACGGTCGCATCTATGGACCCAAAGTGTGCCACACGCGAACGCCTCAGAGAACCGAACGTGTTTCCCAGAATTGGGCCCAGCGGAAGCTCCCAGCAAGCCGTCCAGTGCGACTGACATTCAACAACTGCTGTGAAAAGAGAACCGCCCACCCGTCACGAGAGATGCTCACAGGCGAGAGAGTGGATGAAGGGGAAGGTCAAGCTAGGCGCGCTCGCGCCGTGCCTGACCTCCTGACCAGGCCGCCCACCCCTTCCCGTTGCGCTGATGCTTCTCTGTCCGCCGACGGGTGGCATACGCAGCGGACCTGGAAACCCAGGCACGAACCTTTCTGGTGCGATTTGCAATCATGGAGTGTAGCCGTGTACACTCGAGGATGAGGTGGCGGATGAGCAGGAGGCTGAGCAGGAGGGAGGAGGAGGAGTATGGAGGAGACGGAGGACGACACGCATCAGCAGCACGACCAGCAGGAGGAGTTGGAGGAGCAGGAGGACCAGAAGAGGGCGGAGGAGGGGAAGGAGGGGGCGACAACGATGAGAAAGGACTTGGACACAGGAATGTGGTCCGCGCTGTGGTGAGAGCGCCATTCTGAACGACGGGGGCGCAGCGCCGATCCTGAAATGAGGCCAACACTGCAGCGGGTGCACCATTGTGAAACATCAAAGACGCTGCGACCGAAAAGATCATCTGGCACACCAAGCGTTGAAATCCGATGTGTGAAACATATGCGGAAGAAAAGGGCCCCCGCTCGGTGGTCACGCCGTGCTCGCGACGTATCTCGCCCGCGGGAAGGCCACCCGAGGCATGCACGACCGAGGCCCTGGAGCCCCAGTCAAGCTCTGGCCTTCGACGTGGGGCACGCGCTCTCCCCTATCACGACGTCCTGCGCACGCGACGGCGCAAGGCTTCCGTGCCCTCTTACATGCGCTTCGCCAGTAGCCGATTCGCCTCGGACGCGTCGGCCCCGCAGAGGGGCGAGGCGCTGGCCCGACCCCGACGAACAGCTGCGTCGACGTGGCTTCGCCGTCCGACCTGGTCGTCCTGACTTCATCGGGGCGATGCCTCCGCCCTGCGGGGCAACGCGAGAGGCAGGGCTGGCCCGGGGAGGGCACCGTCGACCTGGAGCCGGCGATGCGTCGCCGACCGATCCGCGACGGGGCCCCGGCAGCGGAGGCGCACGCTCCTGGCAGGGGGCGGGCCGACCCGGCCCCCACCTGCGAGGCGGGGGCCGATCCGCATCCACCGCCTGGGAACCGACGTCCCGGTGCCCCAGCGGGCGGTGGGCACGGACAGGCGTCGGCCCCCGGCTGGCCCGAAGACCTCCAGTCCCTCCGCCTGCCGAGGTCCCCGAAGATTGATCTCCTCCAGGCGGCGGTCGTGTATACATCCCCGCCTCGGACCATCGGCAGAGAGAACATGGCCATCCAAGAACGCCGAGAGAAAACGAAACGAATTACACCAACTCAACACGCCTGGTCGAGCACCTCCTGCTTTTCTGCATGCTCCTCCTCCTCCTCCTCCTCCTCCTCCTCCTCCTCCTCCTCCTCCTCCTCCTCCTCCTCCTCCTCCTCCTCCTCCTCCTCCTGGTCGACGCGTGTCCCGCTGAGCCTGTCCCCCGGCGGCTGCCGCGGCTCGCCTCGGAGCTCCAGCGGCCGCCGCGGGGCGGCGCGGGGCTCCCCCCCCCCTGGGAGAGCGCGCTCGCGGGGCGAGGCGCGGCCTCTCTGGGCGGCGGCCCGCAGCCGGGGAGAGCCGCCGAGAACCGAGGCTCAAACGTCCGAGGGCCCCGAGCCTCGAGCGAGCGGCGCGCCCGGGTGGGGGCCTTCTCGGAAGGCTCGGAAGGCGGAGGAGGAGGAGGAGGCTCCATGAGATCTGGGGGGATCTCATGGCCCCCGCCATGATTCTCCCCCCCCTAGTCATCAGCCCCCTCTTTGCCGCCCCCGATGCCTGCAGCGCCTTCTCAGAAGGGGCGGGCCTCCTCAGAAGGCTCGGAGGTTTCCAGGCCTTCCGAGCAGGTGTCGAGACCTTCCCCCGAGGGCACCAGAGGCCTCTGAGAAGCCCCGAAGGGGCTTCTGAGAGGCCGAGGCCCTTCCCCCCGAGGCCCCTGTCGGGAGGCGCGAGGGCTTCTCAGAAGCCCCGCGGCCTTCTGAGAATGCCTGCTCCTTCTCGCTTCCCCCCCTCGCTCGCCGCCGATCGAACCTCGAACCCAGAAACCTCGTTCCCCCACGTGGCCGCTGACCCGCAGCTCCTGGCTGGCCCACGAGCGGGCGCCTGGCGGGCCTGCAGCAAGCGGCCACACCCACATCGGGGACGCACCCCAGAGGATGTGTCGCGCACGCCAACAATCGCCAGAGCACCGAAGCCAGCTCAGAACTGGTTGTGGCCGATGTGGGCGTCCCAGACGGCCACATTGACCGCAACCACAGCTCACGTGCTCACGTCGACGAAGTCGGTGGGCTCCCTCCCGCGAGGCCTCCCAGGAGCCCCCGAAAGTGGCGACGGTTGCGCAGCTCGCAGTCTCCCAGGGAGCAATACAGGAGGAGGCAGGAGGGAGGGGGGCGGAGAAGAAGAAACGGTGTGCGACCGCAGTGCTCTTCTCTACTCAAAACGAGAACCCTGAGCAGGAGCTTGGCCGCTCCGGTATGCAACACGCAACACGCAGCGTAGTGACACATGGCTCAACACGCAGGCTGAAAACGTAGGTCCGACGCAATGCGTTCGCCAAAACGTGGGCCACCACGTGCCGAGCCAACATGCAGCGTGTCAACACGGACGCTTCGAACACGGCACGAGCTGCGTTTCAACACGGACGTACCAGGGCAGCTAAGGATCGGGGAGACGTAAGACTCGGGTACAGGGGGGGCTCAGGAAGGCTTGACGGGGCCATCGGGAAAATGCCGGTCGGAAACCTGACGCGAGCTCCCGCTGCAGACACCCCACGAAAACTGGACTATCAGAATCCAGGACGCGCTCGTCAAAAAACATGGACGAACCCGAGTTCAGGCGTACTCGAGTCCTGCGTTTCCCTAACAAGAACGGCATAAACACAAACTTTTGGCGCTCCGCGCGGATCTCTTGGATCTGCGCTGGACCCTCCTCCCCAGCGCGCGGAGCGCGCCAGAGGCCTGGACCCTCCTCCCCAGCGCGCGGAGCGCGCCAGAGGCGGCGCCGGAGGCGCCGCCAGGGAGTGGGGGGGCCAGCGCGGAGCCAAGGAATCCGTGCGAAGCGCCAAGAGTTTATGTTTATGGCGTCTTCTCTTCTTCGAGCTTCGGGGGAGCGCCAGTGCCCGCTTCGAGCTTCGGGGGAAGAGGAGGAGGAGGAGGAGGAGGAGGAGGAGGAGGAGGAGGAGAGGAGGGAGAAGGAGAGAGGAGGGGAAGGAGGAGGAAGGAGGAGGAGGAGGAGGAGGAGGAGGAGGACTAGGAGGAGGAGTGGGGAGTGGAGGCGGAGGAGGAGGAGAGGAGGGAGGAGGAGCGAGAGGAGGAGGAAGAGGAGGAGGAGGCAGAGGCGGAGGAGGAGGAGGAGGAGGAGGAGGAGGAGGGGGGGAGGAGGAGGCGGAAAACCCAGCGCAGGAGGGCTGGGAAGCACGTCCGCTCCACTGTGGCGTGAGCCCCTCGGCGTGCCCCCCCCCGAGAGAGGGTGGGTGCGGCGGCGCAGAGGCGCTGGCCCGCCCGGAAAGGCGCAGGAACCTCAGCAGCCGCAGGGCCCGGCCCGCCTCCGCTCGCGGGGGGGGGGGGGCGGGCGGTGTAGGCAGCGGCGCGCTGGGGCGGCGGAGCCCGCGGGCGGACCGTGCGGGGGCACTCATCTACTCTCCTCCTCCTACTCATCATCCTCCTACATCCTCCTCCTCCTTCCTCCTCTTCCTTCCTCCTTCCTTCTCTCATCCTTCCTCCTCTCCTCCTCCTTCCCGCACTCCTCCCTCCTCTCCATCCTCCTCACCCTCTCTCCTTACCTGATTTCCCCTCTCCTCCTCCTCCTCCTCCTCCTCCTCCTACTCCTCCTCCCTCCTTCCTCCTCCTCCTCCTCCTATCCTATCCTCCTCCTCCTCATCCTCTCTCCTCCTCCTCATCCTCCTCCTCCTCCTCCTCCTCCTACTCTACTCTCCCCGTCCTCCTCCTCCCCTCCTCCCTCCTACTCCTCCTCTCCTCCTCCTATTCCTTCCGGCCTCCTCTCAGCCTCACGCCTATTGCCTTGTCCGTCCCTCCTCCTCCCTCCCTCCTCCTCCTCCTCCTCCTCCTCTTCCTTTCCGTCCTCCTCCTCCTCCTCCTTTTTCTTTTCCTCCTCCTCCTTTTCCTTTTCCTCCTCCTCCTCCTCCTCCTCCTCTTTTTCCTCCTCCTCCTCAATTATTCCTTCTCTTGTAAATAATTCTTCCCTGTCGCACCCCGAGGCCAGCTTGCAGGGCAGAACAGGCGTTTCGCCTTAGACTTCCTCACCATTTATGACTCTGGAGCTTGCAAAGCAACAGCAGCTTCACAGATGGAGGGCGGGTCGCTTTCAAAATGTGGTTTTCACCCTAGCGCCGCGCACATTCGTTACAAAAAATGCAAGGCTTTCACGGATTGAGGGCGGGTCGTTTCCGAAATGTGGCTCTCGCTTTTGCGCCGCGTACATTCGTTTAGACAATTTGAAAGAGTTTCACGGATTGAGGGCGGGTCGTTCTCAAATGTAGCTCTCGCCTCAGCGCCGCGCGCATTCGTTTAGAAAATGCGCAAAGAGTTTCACGGATTGAGGGCGGGTCATTTTCAAGACGTAGCTCTCGGCACATTCGTTTAGAAGATGTGCAAGAGCTTCACGGATTGAGGGCGGGTCGTTTTCAAAATGTGGCTGTCGCATTAGCGCCGCGCAGATTCGTTGTGAAAGTTGCAACAGTTTCACTGATTCCCATGATCAACGCACCGGAGATTACGTTTTGGAAAGATTTAGGATTGTGTGGGCGCAATAGTTATGCTGATTCGCTGCGTCGAAATCCCAAAAATGGCGTTCTGGCACGATTCTGGGTCGTCAAGGCGCAGCAGTCAGGCTGATGCGTGGCGTTGAAATCCCGAGAACAATGTTTTGGTTTCAGGAGCCGCAGACTGTTGTCTTCCATTGATGACCCTTGGGTTTCCACTGGTCCTCCTCCTCCTCCTCCTCCTTTTCCTCCTCCTCCTCCTCCTCCTCCTTCTCCGCCTCCTCGCACGTGGCCGCGCGCCGCGTCCGTCAGTCTACAGCCGCTCTAGCGCCCACCTCGCGGCGGGAATTATGAGGCCGACCTTGTCTGCCGAGATCGGGCGCTCGGGCTGCGCATGGAGATGCGTGAACAAAACGGTGGCAGCAGCTGGGGCGGCGAGAGAAGAGCGAGAGGGGAGAGCAATGCCAAGACGACCGAGAGGAGAGGTGGACAAGAAGACTTGGACGTCTAGGTGCAACAGAGAGGCTAAATGGCGTGTGAAATGCGGGCAGCACCAGTAGTGAGCGAGCTCATCGAGCCCGTCATGGCAGCCAAGCACGCATGGCGATACTTCTTGAACCCTTCCCTGTCGGTCGGCCCATCCGCCCCCATCACACCTTAGAACGGCCATCGAGAAGGGAGACATGGAACGCGCGAGTATGAGAGTTTCGGGACCGCAGGGCACCCCACGGAAGACCACGGGCCCAGGAGGGAGATGGGTATCCACTGGGGCAGCCGAGAGGCAAAAACTTCATATAGACAAGGAGGGTGGAGGCCCTCCAGGAAATCTTGATTCTTAAATGGCGTTGAACTTTGAGCTTGCTGGGGTCAGGTGCCTCAGCGATAGCTGCCGCGAGCGATTCGATGGCAAACTTGGTGGCGCGTGAGACGCGCCGATGAGAGCGAGCGCTGGACGCCACAAGATGGGAGCCGAGGGGACGGGGGAAGACAGCATCAGCAGCAGCGAGGAACTCGCAGAACGAGGGGAGGAGCCAGAACGTGGGCGAGAGCGAGTGGTGGATGACTCGCTGGGCGATAGGGAGTGGCTCATCGGCAACCGCTGCGAGAGCAGGGGGCATCTCTCGCCATGGGACAAGGTGGAGGCGACTCGCACGGACCAGCGCGGCGATGGAAGTAGCCTGGATACTCGAAACACGAGGGCCGCCCCACTGGGCAAGCTCGAACCACCCCGCGCGGGGAATCACACAGTTCGGGGTCCGACAAAGACGCAGACGCACAAACATTGCTGGCTCTTGTCTGGCAACTTTCAGAGGGGAGTAGGCACAACTTGAGAAACACAAGCTGGCACCGAAGCCATCTACCGACCCTTTCCGGACGGCCCCCCCCGCCCCCCCCCCCCCCCTGCCCCACCCCCCCCCCCCCCCCCACCCCCCACCCCCCCCACCCCTCTCCCCTCCCCCCCCCCCCCCCCCCCCCCACCCCCCCCCCCCTCCACCTCCCCCCCCCTCCCCCCCCCCCCTCCCCCCCCCCCCCCCCCCCCACCCCCCCTTTTCCCCCCCACCCTCCTCTTCCCCCCCCCACCCCCCCCCCTCCCTTCCCCCCCCCCCCCCGGGCGGTGACCGAGAACGGAGCACCCTGGGAAGCCAGTCTTCGAGCCACGGTCCAGGCCATTTGGGCGACGGGAGTCTCAGGAGTGAGAAGAGCAGAAGGGGCCCTAGCCAAAGGCCGAGGCATTTCAGCAAGGGAGTGACCTCGAAGCAAGCCCAAGAGGGCAGATTCCTGACGAGCCATCTCACATATCTACGCGCGAGGATCGGCGAGTAGGCGTCGGCCAGCGGAACGATCTTGCACTTCGTCGTCTTCAGCTTCAGCGCCGAAGTCCGTTCAATTGTCGAGAAAGCACGGCGCAAGAGGCGTATGTGATCCAGTCGGCGAATAGATGCACCCACATCATCAGCACAGGCACGGGCAATGCCAGCGGAGTGACGAGAGAGCGCGGCCTCCATATCAGTGAAGAAGCAGTCAGTGGCCATGGCGAACAGCGTGCCCGAGGCCGGGCATCCTCGGATAATCCCGCAGTCCTGAAAGAACAAGAAGAGAGTGGAAGTCATAAACGCGCCATAGCACATCACATTCGTATAAATAGTGTAAACCAGCGCTCGAAGAGGGTCGGGTACATTCATGGAGCCCAGCACTCGGTGAAGCCATTGGCGGCTGAGACTGGGAAAGGCCTGTCCGAAGTCAAAGCTGATAAGGGCGGGAAGGTCAATCAGAGCCGAGGGCGACATAGAATGAATGCGTGAGATGGCGTCTAGTTCGACGACGTTGTTGCCGAAGTTTCTGGAACGAATAAATCCTCTCTGTATTTTGGCAGCGAACGATGGCATGATCTTGTTTAGCTGAAGAAAGGATACTCCAACAATAATATTGTTGTCAGCGCGTTTGAGGCCAAGGGGTCGAAGAGCACTCGCGGAGCGAATGCACTGATTCTGGACGCCCTCTCCCTCCTCTCCTTTGGTGATAAATACCATCAGGACCGAGCTGAAGCCTCTAAACATGGGTTGCCCGTTGAAGATCCAGGAGAGGGCCTCGAAGAGCACGTCGCAAGCATATGGACCGCACTTGTAAGCACTATAAAAGATGGCGCCAGGACCAGGGGCCGAGTCAGCAAGGCGTCTTATATATTTTTCCATGCCATGATAACGGGGGGGGGGAGGTCACGAATACCGACTTGGGTACACCTGCGGCCCAAATACCGTTGTCCTGCGTTTTCGTCCACTGGTTTCTTCTGAAATACCTGTCCCCAATGGGTGGCAATCACGTTTTGCATCTCGAGCTGGTCAGTCAAGATGCGGTTGCCTGGGCGAACCCCAATCAGCTGCAGGCGTCTGTCAAAAGGGGCCCACAGCCGGCTGCTCCTGACCAGGCGTCTGAGGCGCTGGCGGAGCTTAGCACGCTTGGACTCCGACTTCGCGGCAGGTAGCTGGTCCGTGACCCTGCGCTGCTCGCGGGCGGCGTCCTGAAAGTGAAGAGCGCCCAGCATATCAGAGAACCTCTGAGGATCCAAGAGGGAAACTCTGGAAGTGATGGGGTCCACGTTGAGGAGCTATAGGGCCAGGGGGAACATCATCAACTTTCGGGCGAGGGTCATATCATTTCTCCAAACACATCGGCTAATAGATCTCATAAGCAGTAAATGTGCGGCTGGGTCCTGAGGGGCTTCTCGTAGGAGGGCATTGCGAGCCTGCCCGAGCCTGCCGGGCACCTCCCTTCAAAACCTCCTTGTAGAAAAGCAACTTCTGGGGCGGGCTGAGAGACGACACGTCGCTCTCCCCCCAGGTCTGCTGGACAAACTGCTTAAAGAGCGGGAGCTGAAAACAAAACTGCTTGGCGACGGGGCGGGCACCCGCGTCGGGGGGCTCGCGGTGACGGAGATGAACGAGAAGGGCGGCATGGTAGGATATTCATTTTTGTTCAAGTGTTTCAGGTATTCGCATACGTTTATGTCAACCTGAAGACAAGTAAGATAATGATCAGGAAGGCTTGTAAATATTCTGTCTATATTCGATGTATGTTGTTGTGCTCAATTGTAGTGGGCAGGTTCAGAACATTCTATATCAATCAATGCCGAAAATATATCCTGCCAGGCAGAGGCCCCATGCCGTCGCCACTCTTGGAGCGCAGCATGGGGCTCGAGATAAGCGGGCGGCGTGCTCTGCTGCGGCGGCTCCGCACAGAGATTAAAATCACCAGCAAGCACAAGGATATACCGATCTGGGGCACGGCGAGCAAGGGCATGTTCTTGTTTGATCCGATCAATAACTCTCCTAGTCGTATCATTGTCTAAACCATGATTGCGAATGTTGAAGTGGGAGATGAAGAAGTGGGGGGAACCAGACGCGGTAGAGATCGATCCAAGATCCAATCGGCAGTGCAAGACTCTCCCAGAGACCAAAATCTCGGACTCGCACTGGGCCAACTCATGGAAACCATTCTCTGGGGTGAGGGCGGGAAAGATCGTCGCAACACCACCTCGCCCGCGCGAGTCAGCATAGGAGGCCTGCCCACTGAAGAAGCGCCGCGAGAAGAAGAGGAAATCGGAGAGGTCGCGTATATTACCATGAGTCTCTTGCATCGCTATAATCGAGTTGGGTCTGAGGAGGGGCGCGAGGTAGGAGAGCTTGGAAGAGCGGGCGCGGGGATCGCGATGAAAGAGAGCACGGGCATTCCAGGTGCATAGCGACAAACACCTGGCCTCGAGCGGCGCCCCACCAAGGACGCGGAATAAATGGCTAAAGGCTCCACGACGCACTGTCTGCGGCGCTGGCAAATGCGCCCCGCAGAGCAGGTTCGATTCTACTCCTGTCGAGGTTGAGCGCGCGGATGTTGGCGCTCTCGTACTCCAAGGTCGGCATGGAGTTGTCGGTCTTGGGGGCGGTCTTGACCACCGGCTTCCACTGCGAGGAGACAACTCCAGCGTGGCGGTCCACGAAGAAACGCATCGAGGGGCACGGCTCCAGAAGGGTCTTGCGCACGGTCTTCGTCGCAATCTCAAGTTTGATTCGACGGGGATTCTCATCGAAAGACATGAACAGCTCAGTCGGGAGATTGTTGCCACTGGCCTGGATGTTGAAGCGCCTGAAATCTCCGCTGGGCAACTTGAGGGCGCCCATAGCCTGGCAAACTCGGCGAGCGGCCCAGCCAGGGGCACCCTTGCACTTGATAGTGAAGCGCTTCGCTGCGGGATCGCCGCGAAGCTGCCATGAGTCCCCCTCCCAATTGGAGTCAGCGAGCCACGGGGTGATGGCCTGCAGGACACGATCACGCGGTACCATGTGGGGGCAACGCACGATGATGATGGTGGGGTCGATCTCTCTGTCGAACTCCCTGTTGATGATACCTTCAGCAGCTGCCGCAGGGGATTCGGTAGAGACGATGATGACTTTTGTCTTGAGCGCGTCAAGCTCGGCTCGCATCGCAGCGATGGTCTGGTCAGTGTTGTCCAGGCGCCTCTCGACCTCCATGAAGCGCTGTTGGATGGTCTGGTCCACCGACGAGTAGTGGCGGTCGACGGACTCGGTGAGCTGGGACATGGCGCGCTGCACTGCGGCCACGGACTCCATGATGTGGACCTTGGTGTCGTCCACATGCTTACGCAGAGCATCAGCATCAGCAATAGATAGCGACCGAAGCGGCGAGCGAGAGCCCTCTCGCCGTTGCCGAGCGCTGGATGGTTGGCCATCGCCGTGTGAACCCATCGGCGAAGAGTACAGTATGGAGAAAGCAGCTCCCGCTGGGGAGGCAGGACGAGCGGAGAGAGGAGATCGGTGTCCGCCCCCGCTTGCACGGAGGTATGCTCACAAGTGTGGTCTGCCCACTCGCGACCATAGGTCTTGCGCCAAAATGGCAACGGACCTCCTCCTCCTCCTCCTGCACATCATTAACATCCTCCTCCTCCTAATAATCATCCTACATACTCCTCCTCCCTCCTCCTCCCTTCTTCAGCACTCCTCCTTCATCCTACTACGACTCTCCTCCTTACGAAGCCTCCTCCTCCTCCTCCTATTCCTTTCCGTCCTCCTCCTCCTCCTCCTCCTCTTTCTTTCCGTCCTCCTCCTCCTCCTTCTTCTTTTCCTCCTCCTCCTTTTCCTTTTCCTCCTCCTCCTCCTCCTCAATTATTCCTTTTCTTGTAAATCATTCTTCCCTGTCGCGCCCCGAGGCCAGCTTGCAGGGCAGAACAGGCGTTTCGCCTTAGACTTCCTCACCATTTATGACTCCGGAGCTTGCAAAGCGACAACAGTTTCACATATGGAGGGCGGGTCGCTTTCAAAATGTGGCTCTCACACTAGCGCCGCAAGGCTTTCACGGATTGAGGGTGGGTCGTTTCCGAAATGTGGCTCTCGCCTTTGCGCCACGTGCATTCGTTTAGACAATTTGAAAGAGCTTCACGGATTGAGGGCGGGTCGTTCTCAAATGTAGCTCTCGCCTCAGCGCCGCGCACATTCGTTTAGAAAATGTGCAAAGAGTTTCACGGATTGAGGGCGGGCCATTTTCAAGACGTAGCTCTCGGCACATTCGTTTAGAAGATGTGCAAGAGCTTCACGGATTGAGGGCGGGTCGTTCTCGAAATGTGGCTGTCGCATTAGCGCCGCGCAGATTCGTTTTGAAAGTTGCAACAGTTTCACTGATTCCCATGATCAACGCACCGGAGATTACGTTTTGGAAAGATTTAGGATTGTGTGGGCGCAATAGTTATATAGATTCGCTGCGTCGAAATCCCAAAAATGGCGTTCTGGCACGATTCTGGGTCGTCAAGGCGCAGCAGTCAGGCTGATGCGCGGCGTTGAAATCCCGAGAACAATGTTTTGGCCTCAGGAGCCGCAGACTGTTGTCTTCCATTGATGACCCTTGGGTTTCCACTGGTCCTCCTCCTCCTCCTCCTGTTCCTCCTCCTCCTCCTTCTCCTCCTCCTCCTCCTCCTCCTCGCACGTGGCCGCGCGCCGCGTCCGTCAGTCTACAGCCGCTCTAGCGCCCACCTCGCGGTGGGAATTGTGAGGCCGACCTTGTCTGCCGAGATCGGGCGCTCGGGCTGTGCATGGAGATGCGTGAACAAAACGGTGGCAGCAGCTGGGACGGCGAGAGAAGAGCGAGAGGGGAGAGCAATGCCAAGACGACCGAGAGGAGAGGTGGACAAGAAGACTTGGACGTCTAGGTGCAACAGAGAGGCTAAATGGCGTGTGAAATGCGGGCAGCACCAGTAGTGAGCGAGCTCATCGAGCCCGTCATGGCAGCCAAGCACGCATGGCGATACTTCTTGAAACCTCCTGTCGGTGGCCCATCCGCCCATCAGCACCTTTAGAACGGCCATCGAGAAGGAGACACTGGAACGCGAGAGTTCGGACCGCAGGGCACCCCACGGAAGACCACGGGCCTCAGGAAGGGAGATGGGTATCCACTGGGCCAGCCGAGAGGCAAAAACTTCAGATAGACACGGAGGGTGGAGGCCCTCAGAAACCTTGATCTTTAAATGGCGTTGAACCTTGAATTTGCCGGGGTCAGGTGCCTCAGCAATCACTTCTGCTAGAGATTCGATGGCAAGTTTGGCGGCGCGTGAGACACTCCGTTGTGAGCGAGCATTGGACGTGGCAAGATGGGAGCCGATGGGACGAGGGAAAGCAGCGCCAGCAGCAGCAAGGCACTCGCAGAACGAGGGGAGGAGCCAGAAAGATGGCGAGAGCGAGTGATGGATGACTCGCTGGACGATGGGGAGTTGCTCTTCGGCAACAGCAGAGAGAGCTGGGAGCCTCTCTCGCCACGAGACAATGCGCAGACGGCTAGCACGAATCAGAGCAGCGATTGAAGTAGCCCGGATACTTGAGACTCGGGGGCCGCCCCACTGGGCAAGCTCAAACCACCCCGCACGAGGGATAGCACAATTCGGGGTCCGAAAAAGACGAGCAAACATTGCTGGCTCTTGTCTGGCAACTTCAGAAGGGGAGAGGCAAACATTGAGACACATAGCTGAGCACCGAAGCCACTCTGCTTTCATAGTTCTGGGCGGTGACCGAGAACGGAGCACCCTGGGAAGCCAGTCTCGAGCCACGGTCCAGCCATTTGGCGACGGGAGCTCTCCAGGAGTGGAGAAGCGCAGCGGGGCCTAGCCAAAGGCCGAGGCATTTCAGCAAGGGAGTGACCTCGAAGCAAGCCCAAGAGGGCAGATTCCTGACGAGCCATCTCACATATCTACGCGCGAGGATCGGCGAGTAGGCGTCGGCCAGCGGAACGATCTTGCACTTCGTCGTCTTCAGCTTCAGCGCCGAAGTCCGTTCAATTGTCGAGAAAGCACGGCGCAAGAGGCGTATGTGATCCAGTCGGCGAATAGATGCACCCACATCATCAGCACAGGCACGGGCAATGCCAGCGGAGTGACGAGAGAGCGCGGCCTCCATATCAGTGAAGAAGCAGTCAGTGGCCATGGCGAACAGCGTGCCCGAGGCCGGGCATCCTCGGATAATCCCGCAGTCCTGAAAGAACAAGAAGAGAGTGGAAGTCATAAACGCGCCATAGCACAAACAAATACTCATAAAATACCTGCAAAAACCATTGACACGAAGAGGTCGGGAACATTTCATGGAGGGCCCAGCACTCTGCGAAGCCTTGGAGGCTGATACTGGGAAAGGCCATGTCCTAAGTCAAGCTTGATACGTGCTGGAAAGGTCAATATCAGATGAGCCGATGGCGACCAAGAAAGAAATGCCGTGAAGATGGCTCCAAGAGGTACGACGACGATGTTTGCCGAAGGTTTACAGTAAACGTTTCGATCCTCTCTCGTATTTTGGCACGACTTGCGATGGCATTATCTTGTTTAGTGCAGAAGTAAAGGAAATACTTACACCAACAATAATAAAGTAGGACACGGCGTATGAAGGCCCTATGGGCTGAAGAGGCAACGCG